CCCCCCCAATAAATAACTATGGATTTATTTTTATTCCATATGTTATAACCCACTGCCATCATTATTCTCTTGAATGTTTAAATTTCCCCAAATTTGTTTGTCAGTCCTTTTAAGCTGGCTCCTGTGTCCTGTTAATATGTCCCCAGTCTCTAAGCACTTGCTTGCTTTCGGGCACGTTGTACTTTTGTTGACCCAGTCATTTCTCCAATAAGCCTTGGCTCCTTTTAGTAACAAATAGTATTTAGAAACCAGGACCTGGGCACTAGGTGTGTACATTGCTACTGGGGTGTCACTGCATCTAACCGTTCTAGTGGGAAGAAATAGAAAATCAGTATACTTAAAATCAAGAGTTTATACTGATACCTCTCATTGAAATCTAAGACCACAGAATTCTTCCTCACCTTATCCCATTCCATATTTGTATCTCTCTTCTTCCACAGTGAGAACCTGATTCCCAACTACATTAGTATACTGATTTATTTATTTATTCTCTCCTACAATACATACTAGTTTCAGAATTACTGTGCTGACATCACTGCCAGCATATATAAAGTTTAACATTTCTTTGCAGTTTTTTGTTCCCAGATTGTATTTCACTAAGGGTGTGTAGTCTGAGTACTGTGTTAAAAAGTTACTTGAATTAATTCTTGTTTTCTTTGTGGTTATATAATCAATTTGATACACTGTTTTATAGTTGCTCTTTGTATATTCAATTTTTGTTGCTTCATTTTCATTTTTGAAATTTAATTTCAATTTTGGAATATGTAAAATATTTATATGGTTCCAAGTCAAAACTATATTAAAAGGTCTACTCAGAAAGGTGGCATTTCCATCCTTACCTCCTCCATCCATTCCCACCCCCACCCCCCATTATCCTATCATTTTTATTTATTTCTGGTTAGTCCTTATGCTTCTTTTTGCAAAAGTAAGTATATCTTTGTGTGTGTACTTATTTACTCTTCCATCTTACACACAAAGTAGGTAACAAATTAGACACATTCTTTTCCAACTTGTTTTTTTCCACTTAAAAACATATCCTAGAAACCACTCCGTCAGTTCACGGATTCTTCCTTTTTAATGTTTTAAAACTGTTTTTACAACTGCATTATATGGACACACTACACTTTTTTCAGCTAGTGGTCAATGGGTGGGCATTTAAGTTGTTTCCAAACATTTTCCACTTGCAAATAATTTTGCAATGAACAATGAATTTGTATTCTCATTTGTGAAGGTGTTTCCTCTGGATTAATTAGTAGAAGGTGGACTGCTGGGCCAAAGGGTAAATGCTTATACAATTTTGTTTGTTGTTCCTGAATGATGGTTTAACTATTATTAAATTCTAAGCTGAGGATACTACTCTTTTATGTTCTAAACCCTACTGTTATTGATGAGAAGAACTCTGTGGTCAATGTAATTGTTTTTTCTTAGAGGTATGACAGAACTGTTAGCTGTTCTCAAAATCTGTGTTCCCTTCTTCCTGGGCGCCAGACTCCCTTGCAGTTAGGTATGGCTGTGCGACTGATTTCCAGCCAGGGAACGTGAGCAGACAAGATATGAACCACTTTTAGGCCTAGTTCCCTTCCCCTTCCTGTGGGCAAACCCTTCCTGTGAAGATGGCACAGCTGCCATCACCTGGGTTCCTGAGTGTGCAGGGCTGCTGATGAACTGAGCTGTTACATGAAATAAACGAACTTTAGCCATTACATCTTGGGTCTATTTTTACAACATTTTAGTCCACCCTACTTAAAACAAAATACTTCTAACTGGCTCTTTTCCAGATCCCTCTCTCTCTCACTTCATATGTGTCTGCCTCCATTTCATAATTTTTATGCACTGTAAGCTTTCATTCATCTGAAGAATTCTAAACATTTTTATTTTACTGTCTTTCAGACGTTCCAAAAATTAATTTCATTTATAGTGTGTCCATGTATTGCTTGCTGAAGTTTTTTTAAGCTCTATGCATTATATTTCTTCATGCATTTTGAAATTCTGATTTGCAAGCCATTTTGAGTAAGAAGCTTTGGATTATTATTATTCCCCCCGTGCCCCCTGCCACCTCTCCCTTAGTTAGTTTTTGGTGCTTCCCTCTGGTGTCCCAGGACTTTCTCCAAACCAGGTCTTAAATGGCACTTTGTGCTCTTGCTCAGTTGTGCTATCAGTGACAATGGAGATGCAGGCCCTGGGCTGAGCAAGCAGCTTGACTCAGCCTCTTGTCCTGAGGCTGGGTCTTCTAAGGATGCAGAATGACAACCATCTTTTCCAGCCTCTTTTCTTGAGTTCAAGAAGCCCACTCCAGTCCCTGGCTTCCAGCAAGGAGCCTGGCTCCAACCCCTTGGTATCAGCTCATGCTTACGTTCCCCCGACCCCCACCTTTGTCCCCACTATTCCCAGGAATCTGAGCTGCCAACTGCCCCTGCCTAAGAGGCCTGCAGCTTGAGCCTGCTTACTCCTTTGTATGTCTGCTCACTCCTGAATGACCACAGCCAGCGAGACCTATTTGGTTATCCTTTTTTATATTATAACCACCTTTGCTAGATGTCTGGAGCCTGAACTCTTGTGCCATTTTGACTAGACACCTTATCTTAAACATTCGTCTTACTCTTCTCTGGCCCCCTGTGTAAGTTCTGTAATGCCTTCTTTATTTAGGTAGTTATGTCCTCAAACTAAACATAGTTCTTGTAAGTCTTAATCACTATTATAAATTATGAGATGACTTCACTATATCTTTTGCCTGCTCTCAGCCTCACGTAAGTATTTGTAACCAGATCACTGATTTTTGAAATGTAGTATTTTGCTTATCCTTGCAGATAATTATTGTGATGGCTCTGCTACTTCATGATTTACTGTGGCCCATGGGCTTTTTCTGCTAGAAATAGGCACAAAGCTAATTATTCTCCAGTTCTAACTTACTACCTACAACATTAATTAACTTTCATTTGACCCTACTAGACTTTGTCCAACTTACAAATACCCAGTGTATCCAGGTTATTTTGACTACTGTTTCCAGTATTACTGGCACATAAACATATACGCTAATATATCATCAGCTACGGATTAAATAGAACTGAGTCCCAGACTGACCTCTGAAAGGTAACTGACAAGAGTTATTCCACAATGGCGCCATGTCCTTGATAATGTCTCTGTATGACCTTCCCACCATCTAACCTTGCGACCATCTGAGCTAAATTATGTTCCCCTGAATTGTTGATGATTGTTATATTATTCATAATTAAATCAATAACCTGGCAAAGTTAAGATACATTAACGCTTGCTTCCTCCAGATACTTACAATGTTCTTGAAAAAATTAGGTTACACTGATATGATTCACTTTGCCATAGAACTACCATTAATTTTTACCCATTGCCTTATGTTTGTTTACAAATAAGTATTCTAGTGGAGTATATTTTCACACACTGTTCCCTGCAATGTGACTATGTCTTAATGATTTCTCATTTATTGCAAATTCAACAGATACATTCACCTCTTCACCCTTTTGGTGGGAACAGATAATTAACACAAGTACAACGTTCAGAATTAAGGAAGGAGGTATTCCAATGCAGACTAGTCATTCAGTTTTGGTGCCACATTTTAAGAAAGAAATTCATAAATAGGAATATATCTGAAGTTGTCAACTAATATGGGAAAAGGATGCAAAACCATGATATAAGAGCAATAGCTAAAGAATCAGAAGAATGAGAGTTGTCCAAAAGTAGGGTAAGTTAGGTTGGAAGCTATTGTTAGTACCATCATTGGAAATGTTTAAATAGGTATAGAACGACTGCTTAGCAAACATGCTTACAAAGGAGGTTTAGTCTTCAAGGGACATGTGAATTAGAGCTTGCCTCCAAGCTCTCCATGACTATCATCTCCTTTAGTTCTTAAGCAGAAAAAGGGGCTTATACATCCAATGACCTGGAAAGTACCAACCAAAAAGCCATGCTTAATAGTTGCTAGATCTCACTCTCAGTCCCTGGCTTCTGAGCAGGCAACGTGGTATGACTCAGCCACCACAGCGATTATGACACTGCCTGTGCTCAGTTGTACCTGGTTTCTAAAACCATGGCTCCGTTGGTCACTGCTGAGAAAGTGAACCAGGCCACTCACTTGAGGGGATCCTTTCTTCAACGTCTCACAATCTGTTGTAGGCCATCCTATCAATCAGAGTCTAGTTTACCCATAAGTCTTTGACAACAGCATCCCAGGCCTATGCCAGCTTGCTCCACTATCATCAACATTTGCTGTTTTTGGTTTTTGTTTTAATTGTGCTTAAGGTCAAAGTTTACAGCACGAATTAATTTCTCATTCAAAAATTTATACACAAATTGTTTTGTGACATTGGTTGCAATCCTCACAATCTGTCAGCATTCTCCCCTTTCCCTTTACACCCTGGGTTCCTCGTGTTCATCTGTCCAGTTTTCCTGTCCCTGCCTTCTCGTCTCTGCTTTTTAGCAAGTGTTGCTCATTTGGTCTCGTCTACTTGACTGAACTAAGAAGCATGTTCCTCACGTGTTTTATTGTTTGTTTTATAGGCCTGTCTAATCTTTGGCTGAAAGGTGAACTTCGGAAGTGGCTTCAGTTCTGTGTTAGCAGGGTGCCTGGGGGCCACAGAATGGGGAGGTTCACATTTGCCTGTTTTGTTTCTATTCCCTTAGGGTTCAGAAGATGTAACATACACACCTCAGATTGATTTTCAAAGCAGGAGACTAGTTGTGGGAATTTCAGAGATTAAGATAAGTTTTGGGGAGCTTGCAGGACCCTCAAGCCAGATAATAATTCTACCTAAATATACTAAATATATATGGTGCTTTTTAGTTTATTACGTAGTTCATGGAGATTATCTGAATCAAAGTATCTAAATCCTGAGAACAGCTACATTCCATGAACCA